CCCACACTTTTTCCGCTATTTTACAAAATTGTGGACAATTGATTTATATATTTTAAAGCCCTTCCTCTTCAAAAGCACTTATCAGTTTTTCAAATCTTTTGACCTCGCTTTTTTCAAAAATTGGAAGTGGAACATTGAATCAAATGGATAACGGCACAGGTTTTTTTAAAATGATTTACTATGATTCCTTGAAATTTGCCTGGAAAGCTATTTCACGAAATGCCAACAATAAGTCAATATAAATAGAGTGTTCGTCATAGCTCAGGACTTGCTCGCAGTATTCTAATAACGTATTTGAGTTTGAAGTGTTTGAAAGCGGCTCTTGTGTCGTTAAACGCTTTAAAATTGCGACCGTATGTGTTGCGCAAAAATTTGAAATTGTGGAATACGATTTTCCTAATAGAAGATGTAGATGAAAAATCTAAATTGTCTAATGTTGTGCACCATCCTATCACAATGACTTCGCCGCCGCTGCCTGCAGTGGTAGTGGCAATAAACTTCTTTGGTAAGTAAATAATTGATTTAACTCTCAACTATGTTCTCCTTCTTTTGCTGAAAAATATGGAGCAAATTAGCGAACTTAAATGTGCGTTTATTTACATTTTACGTAGCATAGCCGCTGAGTAATATGGATGTTGTTCTTGCTTCGTATAACGTCACTTCTTCTTGTGTAGTAGATTACCGCATCAATCATAAGTATTTTGGTACCGTTGCACGTAGTCTAACCCAAAATTCGCTTTCACTCTCGGATCTTGCTAAAATCAAGCCTAAAGTTCTTTCTGAGATGCATTTCACGATTATGATATCTTTTCCGCACAGTGAGGGCTTACTGTAGGATCATGAAGGGACAGTTGCGAGTAACACAAGAAGAATGCCAAAAAAAAGCGATACAGAAAAAAATCGAACGCCAATCGCAATCGAATCGTGTAGCAGAGCCCTAGGCGACGGTTCATGGGTCGTGCTTCCTATTGTGAAGACTACTGCTTGACTTGCTGTGCTTATACGAATGAAGAAACGCCACATTCATTTTTACACTTGACGAATCTATAAATTCCTCTGAACAAAGCTTCATTCGCATACAAATGCGCAAAATGGGCATTAGTATTCG